GGGAGCCCATAGCAGCCAGAACCGTGTTCACGAGAAAGCATTCGGGGGCCACTTCCGACCTGCAGGCGGGGGATACCGGCTAGGGGACAGCCGGTAGCATCAGGGACCATGCGAACAGGACCAATCCATGTGCCTCCCCTCAGGTCCACTCCCCTACGAACAGCAGCAGACTCTGCTCAATGCCCATCGGGGGATCCAGTGGTCTATCTCTAGGTGGTTGGCGCCAAGCATGCCCGAGGAAGGTGCATGAGGGCAATGGGGATTGAGCCCACGACCTCTTCTTGTTGTATCTCGCGCAGTAGATCGGCCTGTTGGCCTCGTCCGACCCGTTCTGTCCCCACTCCTCTCTCTCTCTCTCTCTGTGTGAAATGAGTGCGTTGCCAGTGGACAATGAATCAGGTAGCGAGCCCTCACAAAACGTGTACGGAACAGTGTCCGGGTCCAGACAATTGAGGAAAAATAATAATAATAATAATAATAGTAATAATAATAATAATAATAATAATAATAGTAATAATAATAATAATAATAATAATAATAATAGTGAACGTATACAAGCTACCTTCCCGATCCGATACTGTTATGTGAGCGTCGTGAGGTGAGTACAGGTTGGGGGGGAAGGCGGCATTGGCGGGCGACCTCGATCCTCATCGTTTGGCTCCCCATCATCGCGTCTCCTTCCTTCGCTCCTCCTCCTCCCATCCTCGCTCCTCCATTCTCTCCCTCTGTCATCGCCTCCGTCTATCTTGTTCCTGTTTTTCTCACGCTCTCTTCTTCTTCTCCTTCAACCGCCTCCCACTTCTCTACGTCTTTGCCTTGCTACTATCTGTGTTGTCCGTCTCCTTCTCCTTTTTGTCCTCTCCCTTCTTCTCCACTCTTGTCAGGGCGAGATCCCAGTGACAAAGAGGATTGTAGTAAGTGTCTGAATGTGGACGTGGTTTTGGACAGGTGCGAAAAATTGTGATTGATCTAAAACATGTCCATATTCAGACACTTCTTCTAATCCACTTTGCCAGTGGGATCTGGCCCTCAATGGACTCTTATAGCTGTCTCTTATACACATCTAGATGTGTATAAGAGACAGGCTACTATCTGTGTTGTCCGTCTCCTTCTCCTTTTTGTCCTCTCCCTTCTTCTCCACTCTTGTCAGGGCGAGATCCCAGTGACAAAGAGGATTGTAGTAAGTGTCTGAATGTGGACGTGGTTTTGGACAGGTGCGAAAAATTGTGATTGATCTAAAACATGTCCATATTCAGACACTTCTTCTAATCCACTTTGCCAGTGGGATCTGGCCCTCAATGGACTCTTATAGTTGTCCTTCTTCCTCCTCCCTCCTTCGTCATCCTTTGGGAAATTTGCTGATATACCGCTTTCGTAACTAATCGTAGCAAAAATACCGGTATGCACGACTATTTTTTTTAAATCGATTTTGGCCTGTGTTAGGCGTGCCATTCGTTGGCTTTGGGGCAGTTTTTGGGCCTGTGGCCCATGTCCAGGGTGTTGTTTCGACTTCAAAAAAAAAAAAAAACAGAGGCACCCCCACATGCTGTTATTGAAGCAAAATCCCCCCGCCCCCAAAAAAAAAATTGTCCTGTTCACGCCATTGGCCGTTGGCAGCTGGTGGAAATCAGGTTGCTGGTGAAATAAACTTGAATAAAGCACCATGCGCCCTGGTACCCTGTATCATTCTTGCAAATGAGAGAGAGAGAGAGAGAGAGAGAGAGAGAGAGAGAGAGAGAGAGAGAGAGACGCGGCGAGAGGGAGAGCCGAATGCACAACGGTTATGAGAGAGAGAGAGAGAGAGAGAGAGAGAGAGAGAGAGAGAGAGAGAGAGAGAGAGAGAGAGACGCGGAGAGAGGGAGACACACATGGACAACGGTTATGAGAGACAGAGAGAGACGAAGAGTTTATGTGAGGTAGAGAGAGAGAGTTTGAAAGAGAGAGGGATAGAGAGAGAGAGAGGGGGGGGGGGAGAGAGAGAGAGAAGAGAGAGAGAGAGAGAGAGAGAGAGAGAGAGAGAGAGAGAGAGAGAGAGAGAGACATGGACGGGGTATCTGCTATGTGGGGTGTTACTGACACCCCTATATATTTATTTTTTCCTATGCTACCTGCCAGGGCCCTGCGCCAACCCCCCCCCGGCCGCAGCAGCGAGCTCCAATAGCTGCGGCGGCAACGTTTGTGGCCGCCACCGCGGATGGCAGCCCCGATTCCGCGGCCATGATTTTCATGGATTTTTCCTGGCCAAAATAAAACGTAAAAAAAAAAAAAAAAAAATCTTGGGGGCCCATGAGGTGGTCGACTAGAGCATCTTGTAGGGTCTTGGAGGATTTGTTTTGAAGTAGGGGGCAAAGAGCATCAAATGATTCTTGGCAAGGATGGAGAGGGGATGGAATAGGGTTTTTTAACGGGTACCGGATTATCAGATGCGATTGGCCTCGGGTAGTTTATGCTCCCCAATGGGTACCGGCTGATGAGGATGATCTTCGGCGCAATTGGCGTTGGGTAGTGCTGTTTCACCCCCTTGAGGACGGAGACTGAAATTCTTGTTGGGGCAAGGAATTTCAGGGTGATGATGGTGCCCGCCCCCTGCTGAGAGGAGGTTGTCTGGACTCTTTACGAGGGTGGAGTTTGGGAGGACGAATGAGGTTCTTCCTTTTGATGACGGAGGCATGATTGTTCTCGTTGTTTGTTTCTGAGGTTACTTGTTTTCCTTAACTTGTCCTATTCTTTCGTTAGAGTTTTATCAAAGTCTTAGCAAGGGTCTCATGGGATAGTCAAGTGAAGCATCTTGTAGGGTTTTGGGGGATCTGTTTCGAAGTAGGGGGAAGGGGCATGGAATGATTCTTTGCAAGGACGGAGAGAAGGATGGAATAGGGTTGCTTGACGGGTACCGGTTAGCGGGAGCTCTTATGAGATGTGATTGGCATTGTCGCATTCGGTAGTTTACGATGTCCGATGGGTACCGACTGATGAGAGCAAGCTCCAGTGCAATTGGCGTTGGGTAGTGCTAGTTCACCCTTTTGAGGACCGAGACGGGAGTTCTTATGGGGGTAAGGAACTTCAGGTGATTATGGTGCTCAACCCTGCTGAGAATCGGTCCTCTGGAATTCTTTACGAGGATGGAGTTAGGAAGGATGGAGGAGACTGGGATGGAGGGAGTTGGGGTGGATGCGATTGGCGCCAAGTATTTTGGCGATTACCGGCCACTTGCTACTAACTCCACCTGGAACAACTCGAGGTTTTTCCTTTCGATGACGGAGGCAGGATCTTTTGGGTTGATTGTTCCAGGGGTTGCATGTTTTTCCATATTTTCCAAATTTTGACCTATCATCAAAAGGTGTCCCTGCTCAGTTAATCCCCTGGTTTCTGGGGCAATCAATGCTGGCAGCGGGAGGTCCTCTTAATTTTTTCTCAAAAAAGAGGTGAGCGCAATAAGTAGATGGTTGGATATCAAGCGTCCTACTAGTGAGCGGGCAAACTCGTAGGACGGAAATAGGGCACAACAGCAGCGGAGATGGTGGCTCTGCTGCAGTAAGTCTTGCCGGAGTGAGGTAAAGAGGATTGATGGGGGGTTCTGAGTTGTTTTTTGAATTTTGTCTTTTTCTGAAGACTGTCACAGTAACTTTCTAAGTAGCCACAGCCGGGTAATGGCCCCGGTATCTTAAACTTTCGAAATTCTATGTAAATTTTCATATGGGACGCTGGGCCCGGTTCCCAGCACGTGTTGTTTAAAAAAAAAAAAAAAACTTTTGTTGTCAGGGCCCCAATACATTTCCCTTCCGGGGCACCAGAGAGGTCGGACGGGTAAGTGGTGCAAGCCTCCATAAAGGCCAAACTAAGTAACAAGGTACCTCTAATTTTTCCTTCAGCTTCTGGTTGTCTAGGAATGCCTTCTATGCTTGCTGAAACCCTCCAGTGTTGCCTTTGTATTGCACTGCAGCAGAGCCAAGGAAAAAAAAAAATCATCAACCTAGATAAAATATCATGGGGGAAGGGAGAGACGGAGGGTGGAGGGAAGGGGGGAGAGAGAGAGAGAGAGAGAGAGAGTGTCAACTGGCTTGCCTCAGTTGGTACACCAATGAGTTGTGGTGAGTTCCAGTTTTGATGGAATGAAATGAGCAGAAATCACTCTGAATTTTTGGTGGGACCCCCCACTGGACGGCGGCAAGCCTTTGGAAGACATTTTGTGGGACTTCACTGCTGGCATCAAATGGGAGAATTTGTGTTTCCACTCTGCCTACCTCCGCTTTTTCAGCTCACCAACCAATCCCCGTGCTTCCTTTCCGCACGAGATGCATTTCCCTCCAGATTTTCCCATCCTGTGTGAAAAGGAAGCGCGGGGATTGGTTGGTGTGCTGAAAAGGCGGAGACAAACTTGCCCGTAAAGGCAAATCTTCCTGATCGGGTAACAGAAAGCTTGGGAAGTTTCACAAATTGTTGTGGTGGGGAAGTTCCTTTTCACTTGCTCATTCCCTTCAGCTACGATTTTCGGCTGGCGGATGTTTTCCTGGCGCCAAGCACCTCCAGGCAGAGGGGTCCCACCCTTAGACGGATCGGTCAGCTCAATGGTGATATTTCAAGGCTTTCGCCCATTCCAAAGGAAAGAGGAAAGGAAATTTTCAGCATATCCCAGGAGCTCACATATATTCTAAAGTTACCCTAAAAGAAGTGGGTAGAGGGGAATCCACATCTGAAAATTCAAAAGCTACATCTTTGCAATGTACCCCTGTAAGGGGGTTGTGCGAGTTTGCGTTGGGGCTCTGACAGGAATATAGCACAAACTTTATCCTAAGGTATTCTCAAGACCGCCAATAGCAATCTTTTTTTTCATTTAACAATCTGAGAATTGAAAGAATTCAGGAAATTTGAGGAAAAAACATGGACAAGTACTACGAAAAACCATCTGCCTATGGTCAACCCTGAAATCAGAAAAGTCGAGGGTTAAAACTGAATCTGCCTGCTATCCAAAGTTTCAAACCTCCCCCACTCAACATAAAAGACGCAGGTCTAGACTTTTACTCCTCGTACTAGAACTCGATGTCATACCCCCTTCTGCTAGGGTAACAGGGCACCATAAATGTCCCCAGTGCGACTAACCTAGTTCTAACGGACAGGAATGCCTTCCTCCCTCGGCATATCCCGTAGCCGCAAGCCCCTGACCCAGCTTACAGGGTAATACCCCGGCGCTGGGTACGTCGGACGATCTGGTGAAAACAGGACAGACAGGCTTCGACATGCTACGACTTCTCCTTTCGAAAGAAAGGGAAGGAAGAAGAATAGTGAAAACAGTGGCCATAGACTGCTTCTCGCACACGCACCAACAGATTTACATTTCTTCTCCGCATGTACAGTTCTAAGAAGAAGCAGAAGAAGAAGTAGAAGTTGAAGTAGAAGTTGAAGTGGAAGTGGAAGCGGAAACAAAGAAGAAAAGAATTGTCTGAATGCTAACAGGCAAACAACCTTCGACTTCTCAGGGCAAATCTGACTGCAGCAATCCCATTTCGATTCCATTCGGGGATGTGCTGGCAGCTGGCAGCTGCAGCTGGTGTGCTCTTTCGACCCCATCCCCAATCTCCCCTTACACCTACTTTTCCTACCTCTGTTTGCGAAGAAACGCGTTGATCTCCCCCACCAACCACAGTTTTCCGCCGTGGTCTAAAACCGTATCCATGCTTTCCCCAAATCGCTGCCTTCTGCCCCCAATCTCTATCACCTCACACCCTTCTACACCGGATACGTACTGGTCGCCGTCAATAGACGACATTTTGAACCTCACCCTTACTTCTCGAATGTTCCCGACTTGTCCTTCTGCTTCTATTTGGGGTTCGGAGTCGGGGATCGTCGTGGCGATGGTGTATGCTCCGCCGCCGACCATCTTCACGCTCATGCTACGTGATGCGTCGCAACCCAGGAGCAGAAATAAACCCCACAAAAGATGGAAAGCGGGAAACAGTAATAACCACCACAAACGACGTTTGTCATTTAAAAAAAAAACGGGAAAAATGACAGGGTGAATGATAGCGCCGCAAAGGAGGAAGAGCTGGACGTTCTCGCGAAATTCGCGGCTCGATAAGCTGGGAGGAATGTCTATGCTGATCTCTCTACCGTCCGATGAGATCACAACCGCTGATCCTTTGGGCTTGCGCGGGCTGAATGTCGAGATTGCCACCTTCGTTGGGTCCGTCCTTGGGAGCAATGATGATAGTGGTTCGTATCCTGTGGGACCGAGATTCACACGTACGCGATGCTGAGCTGGCAAACTCTCTGGCTTGCTGACGTCACCATGATCTACGCTTGATTGCGAACCCCTCATGACCAGCAACTCCACCTGGTCGGGATCGGGGGACGGAGACGTGGAGACGGGGTCTCGCCACGTGGACGACACTGGTGTTCTAGAGCCAGGCCCCGGTCGACAAGCGGGCTCATCAGGCGTCGAGCTGGGAGGTAGGAGGTCGGGTAGGGCAGTCCAGCTGCCTCGCAGAGCGTGGATGACGTCATTCACGTGATGGAAGCCATAGCTGCTACCGGGCACGTAGTGGAAGAGGAGCAGCCGCTCCAGCGTCTGCGCCAAACGATCGGTCATCTGCACGTGGTCGCGAAGACGGACCCGATTCCGAAACTGCAGGTCTCGAATCGTCAGCGACGGCGGCTCTCCTGTGGCCACGTGGACAGCTGTCAATCCAAGAGCGAAGAAATCCGACTGAGCAATTGCTCTCTGCCGCTCGAGCTGCGGGTCCGCAGATGTAAGAGGAGGAGAGCGAGCCACGTCACAAGTATTATTGCCAGCGGCTTGCCACGTCACCGCGGACGCGCCTCGTGGAGGCCCCGCCGTCCAAGGCACGCCGAGTCCCGGCAGCAGCTTGACATGCCCTACCCAGGATAACCCTCCCACCCGCGCTCTCTCCACATCCACGATAATGTTGCCTGAGCAGATGTTAGATTGACTAATTAGTGATTCGATTTCCCATTCTTGCTGACGTGGCGACCGAGCATTGAGCAGCTTCTCAGATATCCGGTTCAAGCGCTTTCGATGCTGATCGAGGTACGGCAGCACCTGCAGCGTCTCGACAGCGATCCCGACGACCTCCTCCTCCGAGAACAACCACCCTTTCGCCACCAGCTCTTCCAGCGACTCGCCAGGAGGCTCTTCGTGAACAATGAATATCCTCCGCGGTCCCTCTGGCGTATCGTCGGCAAAGCAATCAACGAAGGACGGAACGACTGAGCTATTCAACGAGCCGAACACCTTCTTCATTTTTTCCAATAGATCTGCTTCCTCGGATCGAGAAAGTTTGCACTCGGGTATAAATACTCTCAGTAGGACCTTCTTGCCATCCGAGGAAGACACAGCACGGTAAGTCGGGAGCACATCTCCTCCCGAAGCACTCATCCCCTGAATGACGTATCGTGCTTCCCCACCGACGTGAACAGGCGGTAGAAGATGATGGTCTCTCTCGCGCCCATTACCTCCCTCTTCCAGTGTAGCCTCAGCCTCCGTCGGCTGCGTCAGCACAGAATAGCTGAAAGCCATCTGTCTTTCTTGACCGTCACACCCGCAGAAGCAGATCACAAAAGTCCGCCCACTCTCTCTCTCTCTCTCTCTCTCTCTCTCTCTCTCTCTCTCTCTCTCTCTCTCTCTCTCTCTCTCTCTCTCTCTCTCGCCTCAATCCATTGAAGCATGTACAGGGATGGTAATGACACGTATGTCGGGAGTCGTCTACCTCATCATCCGGTCACTCAGTCCTCGAGACTCTGAAGCATGCATGGGTCTCTCTCTCTCTTTTTCTCTCTCTCTCTTTTGTGAATCGATTGAAGCATTTACAGGGATGGAAGTGACACGTGTCTCGAGAGTCGTCGACCTCATCGTCCGGTCACTCAGTCTCCCACTCTCTCAGCCATCGAGACCCCGCGTTCACGGAGAAGCGACGGTCCTAACGAGTGCTGCATGGCTCGCTCGATCCGCTCACAACAGGCATAAATAATCTCGTAACTAGTTCCTTCGCGGCAGACACGCCGCGCCCCAACATGGCTACAGTCTTCCCTCGAGTACATTTACGGTCATTATGGTTGAAATTAGACTGAAAGATACACCAAATTCAGCTAAAATGACCGTACGTTGTATTCGGGGGAACACTGCAACCAGCGTTGCCTACCCCGAGCCTCCCTTCTGAGCTCTTTTTTTTTTTCCTCGTAGAAACAGACGTATCTTGGAACCAGCACACGCGCGCCCCGCTTGTTCGATACATCGATGTGTGAGCGTCACTCGTGTGAACGCGAGTAAACGTCTGCTCTCGATGCAGCTCTCTTGATGAAGTTGAGGGAGCTCGTTTCTGCCCACGGCTGCCACCTCCTCTATACTGGCCGACGTGACCGTCGATGTTGTTTATCAAAGGTTGTATCTTGTTTATCCATGCAAGCCCGACCTCGCCCGGGGGCCAAGTCCCACTACGAGGAGGATCGTGTAGTTTCTCTTGAGGTCAGTGTAACGTGGCAAAACCATGGCCATCGGACAGCATGCTCTCGTGGTCAAAAACTTGAAAACTACGCGATTGTCCCCACCAGCAGGGCGTTCGGTCTCACGTCGATGACACAGTTTCCCCCCCCCCCTAATTGATAGTCTTGGGAGTAATAAACCTCCCCGCAACGAAGCCTTTGAAAAGAGCTGCGGGGCCCAAAATGACTTTTTGGGCCGGTTGGGGGGGCAATGAATGCAAAGGTTTCATCGCGGGAGGTTTTATAACTTCCCCCGGTTTTCTTCTCTCAAAATCTATGTATATGTATATTATTCAGCATCTATCTCATCTATCTCATCCTCTTGCTACTGTATATGTATAATACGGGGGAACAACAACCACACCTTGAATTTTTTTATTTTTTTTTCTCCGCCCCCTCGAAATTTAATTTCATTACTCAAATCATTCAGAGGCAGGGGTCCTCTACATTGCTCCCCCCTTCAAACTGGTATCTGGAAGCAGCATCCAGCTTAGCTTTTAGGCTGAAAGCCTGCACGGCCTAGGTCCCATTAGCAAAGAGGATAGGATTTCGCTCCTGTATCTGAACGCGTTTTAAGCAGAGGTGCAGAAAAGCTGTTCCATCTCGAATTTCCGCACTTTTCCAGGAACACGTCTAGATTCGGGGGTTCAATCTAATCCATGTTGCTAGTGGGACCTCGCCCCAGGGCCCAGGTCTTTCCTACGGACCCAGCAGCTCGTTCGATGCGTGGTTGTCTACACACTCCAGACTATTCTACCTAATTCCTAATTCCTATCCATGGTGCAGTTTTACCTGTACAACTAGCAAAATCATAGGGAGTTCACTACTCAAAGGAGATCTATCTACCAAAGACAACACACACAGAGGAGGAGCAGCCAATGTTAACAGAATGGGATAATTGGTAGAAAGAGCCCACGCCAAAACCTTTTCGGTTTTGGCCGCCCAAAGTTCGGCTGTTTGGTAGTACCGGCCCAAATGTCTTCAGCCTGGGTGAAAGGCGCCTTGGCGCGGTGGCCACAGCTCCCTTGGCCTGTATTTACCGGTTGACGAATTTGGCGCTGGTTTTCCGCCAGATTCATGTACCGGTAGTGCACTTCTTTTTCAAAATAAGGTACGTGGGCCTCATTCTATCCTACTCTATCCTTTAGCGGTACCGCCGTCGACCTCTTCTACATCAAAATAAATCTGGCGCTGTTTATGTGCCAGATTCATGATTTGGTTTAACCCTTGGAGCCAAGTGTGGGCCTGTAGTACCCCAAATGGAAGACATTGGGCCGGTAGTACCAAACAGCTGAACTTTGTGAAGTTGTGTGAACGCTGCTAAAATAGGATCCTACGGTTCCTACATCCCATTTCAAAACTTGAATTCTCCCCAGCCCACCTGGTAGGTTTGACAAAAGCAAAACTTGAACTCTCCCCAGCGGCCCAGCCCACATGGTCTGTTTGAGTCAGTGTCATACCCCCGTTCACCGGTCACCGGGTTCATGAACGAAGGCTGGTCACCGGTCACGATTTTCCTGACCGGCTGTTGTTCATGGAGTTCACGTTGAGCGGGAAGGATTACTTTTTTCTTTTTGGCTGGGGGGGTGGTTGTATTTTTGCTCAGGTGTGTTGCGGGTGTCCATGGGCACCTGCCTATATATATATATATATATATATATATATATATATATATATATATATATATATATACAGTTGGTCGCAGCCCCTCGTTTGTTGTCCTCTTCTCTCTCTCTGCCTACGGTTTACCGAGCAGTTCTGTTTGTGACGATATATATATATTAATAATGAAAAACTATATTTATTTTTTAAATCGATTTTCTCCTGTATATATTAATAATGAAAAAATATATATAGTTTTTGGGCCTGCGGGCCATGTTCAGGGTGTTGTTTCGACTGCAAAAAAAAAAAAAAAAACAGAGGCACCCCCACATGCCGTTATGGAAGCGAAATCTCCCCCCCCCCAAAAAAAAAGGGTCCTGTTCATGCCACTAGGCGTTGCCTGCCGGTGGAAATAACGTTGCTGGTGAAATAAAGCCCCATGCGCCGAGCGAGCGAGAGAGAGAGAGAGAGAGAGAGAGAGAGAGAGAGTTTATGTGAGATAGGGTGAGAGAGTTTGAAAGAGGGAGGGATAGAGAGAGAGAGAGAGAGAGAGAGAGAGAGAGAGAGATATGAGAGAGAGAGAGAGAGAGTTTATGTGAGATAGGGCGAGAGAGTTTGACAGAGGGAGGGAGAGAGAGAGAGCTGTCTCTTATACACATCTAGATGTGTATAAGAGA